CACAAAGTGCTCCAAACTAAACAAGCCCCCTAGCTGAATTTACAGCCAACAGGAACACAGCCCAAGTTTGGAACAACAGTTATTTGAGATGTCACGTGAAACACCCACACTATTGCCCTTGTATTAAGTTGTACTAGCAGTAAGTTAGTGCTCATGGTGAAGGAACTTCTCCTTTTGAGATTTTAAAGTTGTCCAACAGTAAAGCCAGTCATGCACTCAGTAAAGAAAAAAATTCTTCAACCAAAAAAAAATTCAAGTGAAAAAAAAATCCTTCGACCTTGTTTGGCTGACAGGCTTCTCTAAAAATTACATGTTTCATCACAGCACCCATTACAGACCATTTATACACATTTGGTTTTGGCAATGTGTTAAATACGCTGTTCTGGGATCTGTCAAAGGGTAGCTCAGAGTGAAGGAACGTCATCAATGCAAGAACATCCTCTCCTCGTAGTTTTGCCATATGGCTTTGAGTGACCAGTCCTGGTAGAGCCAGTGTGGGAAAAAAGCACACAAGTCCGAAGGCGCAAAACCAAATCACACAGGATACATGTATCAAATTCACTGACATAAAAGCAATTTAAAACTGAACACATTAGCATTTATGTAATAAGGCCAACTCTCAAAGTTTATGTACTGTGTATAAAACACTCTCCATATAGCAGTCTGAGTGAGATGTGTATACTGACAACACTGATAAATCAGTATTGGTATGAGAATGTTAAAGTACATTTACTCTCAAAGAAGAGAAACAAAAATGGTTCTAGCAAATTTACAGTCCTATTAATTGTCAACCAACATTTTATTTATGAACCAAGTCGACATAAAACACCCTAAACTGAGCCTTCTACCATCACTTTACAAATAGAACTGCAATTTCACTTGCATGCAGTAAGTTCACAATCAGCACTTTAGTCCACAATTTTTAATGCAGCAGGTTTCTCAAGGGGAAAAAACATTGCTCTGGCAGTGAAGTTACTTAAGCGACTTTTGTGTAACCCATGCCTGCGAGCTACACAGCTTTGCAGATGTAGGAAAAAAATACGACATTCAGGAAACCCAAATTCCGCAATACGGAACAGTAGTTACTGAGTTACATAAGTTCACAGTACCACAAGCATTTAAAGCAACTAAAAGCCTAACTACACTTTTTGACTGCATATGCATGAAAAATATTATAAATAGCTAAGTTATAAGCTTTCTAAACAGAGGTGCTATTCCTCAGAGCATTAGCTAAATGATAAATTTGAAACTTCAGCTGCTTGAGCTCTTTCTATTTATGATCTTCTGTGAAAAACGTGGAAAACTCTTCATTTTCCTTTCAGCTGAGAAACTCAAAGCTGGCTGCGGAAACTAACTCAAATGTTCCAAAAATTATTCCTCTGCTTGGTTTCTGCCCTAGTAGAAGTTTTCTAAATCCTAACAGCTTGGAAGAAGAAGAAGTAACAATACAGTCATTACATTAAATGGTATCCACTGTAATTCAGCAACCAAATCTGAATGTGTTTTGCTTCTTTCACTGGAATAAAAGTATATCACTTGAAGTATTTTCTCTAATATTATAATTCCTGGGGGAACAACATACAAAATATAACCTCAAATGCACAGCTAAACTATGTCAGCTGAACAAACACTCAGTGTTACATGCATGCGAAGGAAAATTGTGACTGACTGATCTGCATGGTTGTATTGATCATATAGCATTTGGGATGCACAATTTGCGAGGTGTGCTCTTACAATTTTACAGACATCACCACAGCATTTTTTTAATTAATATATAGGGGTTTTTATGATCAGCAATGAATTAGACCTAGACAGAGTTCATTTAGTTAGGAGAAGAGATTTAAAATTCTCATAATGATTTACTAGTTTGCAAAATACTTTTGCACACTCCAGTGAGCAAGGTTAAGATTAGGAGGGATCTGCGGTAGATGCACAGTTGAAAGGATTAAAGTTTGCTGCAGAAAATTCGCTGTATTATTTAACTTCCATTTCCAGACCAACAATCACATGAACATCTCTATCGAAAGGATGCTATTACATCTCAGATTGCTAGCTAGCAGCAAAAGCCCAGATCATATTGCCATACAGGGTCTTCAGAAATGGTTCTGCTCTGACAAATTCCGTGCAAGCTACTGAAAAGCAAACCCTTCCATCAAACACATACAAGCTTAAAGTCTGTCAACTTTTCTACCCAACGTGCTAATACAAACAGTAGAAACAGTACCAAAAGTTTAAAGTCAAGAGGATTCAAACAGGTATAATTTTGATAGGTCTTAGACTTTTTAAATTAAAAAAATAAAATTGACAGCTTCCTTCAATCGAACTAGAAATAGTCATCTTTGCCTTCCAAAGGAATCCGGCAACTCTTTAGGTAAAAAACTACGTACGCTAAAGCAGAACTATGAAAAGCTTCTTATGTTTATTTCTAATGAACATTTCCAGCATCTTTCCACAAAAAGTTACTATGTTTCCACAAAAAAAAGTATGAATAAAGGTGTTTTGCATTTTGAAATTAAAGATTTCAAAGAGAAATGTGGATGGATAAATAAGTAAATAGTATCAGTGGTTCCATAAAAAGAAGGCAGCTTTATTTTAGCAATGATAACATGTATTTATTTTTAAAGAAGATTGCTCTAGAGCAGATTCACGTTGTTCACTAACATTGATACAACCATCACATAGCCACAATAAACACAAAGGACTGATACATGTACGCTACTGTACACACTGGGTAAGATGACACTTCCTAACCCGATCATTTAGGTTGGCAAGGTACCTGCGGAGTTCTCGCCATTCTGCTCATCTCTCAGGCTCTGCTGACTGAGGTCTGTTACTAAGCGAACTGCTTGCTTCTTCCCTTCTTCATCTCCCGACTCCTCCGATTCAATCCGCTTATCAACTGCGTAAGATACATAATAGCAGAATTAGGCTATTTTCAGCAGTGGGGTCGGGGGAAGAAGTAGCAAGCAGATATAATAACCAGGATTCACATATACCACTATGAAGTTAGTAGAAATCCTAAGTTAACTAAATGAAAGGTTTAGTCTTAAATAAAAGGCCTCTTACCCCTTGTTTCTATTTTGATTTTGGATGCACTTTTTCCTCCCATCACATCTTCCTAAAACCAACAATCTGGGAAGAAGACTGGAGGAAAAAGGAAATTTCTTAGATCAATATAGTGCAATTCCAAAGATTACGGAGATGGAATTAAAACTATTACATTTTAAAAGCTTTTAGAAAAAAAATCAGTATCATGTACAATAGTACCAATGACACAAAGAAGTGAAGGCATCAAAAAAAGAAAAAAAAATCCCTGCAGATAAAAGCAACCATCTCCCCAGCACACCTGCGAGATCCCTTCACCATTTACCCAGCCACAACTCTGGTGGCCACCCTGGCCCTGGGGACCTGAAGCTCCTCACTCCTCCACGGTCCCCCCTCAGTATTTGCTCTCGTTTCACGGGGCGACTGAGGAAAAGCAACGCCATGCCAGGAGATTTCTTTCTTATATCTTTATTTTTTACGTCACGGTCACCTCCACAAACCCACTTCTTCTACCTATCACGCGTGGAGCCCCGGGGAGGGGGAAGGCATCACGCCATGCCCCAGGTAACGCGCACACCGCCCCCCACGGCTCGGCGGCCAGCCAAGGCCCCGTCCCCCTCGGGCAGTCGCCCTCGGGGTGGACACCCAGGGGCTGCCCGGCCG